CTCTCCTAAGTATGTTTTTGCTGCAGTCAATAAGTTCTTGCTCGCTTTTCTACACTGTCTCTCTTGATTGGAACCTTTCCCTCAAAAAGACAAGAACCAAGGTCTCATTGTCTCCCCGGTAACACTTTGACCAAAGTGAAGGCCCAGGCATTCAGCTTGCCACTAGACCTGGGCTTAAATCTAACTATGTAGAGTTCAATATTGGCTATTTCATTTTGGGAAAATTAACCTTTCTTTTCCCTATTTAGCAGCCAAATTGGATCAAAATATTCACTATAGAGTTTATTTTCCAAGATTCAGTGAGACAACATGAAGAACCTAGCACAATGATTTCTATACATAATGGGCCAATGAAGGTTTGTTCTCTGTCCTGCCCTTTGACACTGCTTTAATCCACTTTCTTGCTCACTTGTGGGTCCTGGAGGGATGTGTCATTCAGGGATTAGCAAGTTGACTAAAAAAAGGCAAAGTAAAAAGAGGCCTAACTTGCCACCACTAGTCGTCCCCAGCACCCGCGGCCCTCAGGAGGGAGAGAGCACTTCTGGCCACAAAGCTGTTTGGGCTGCAGACGCCTGAGCCCAGCGTGTCCTCTTTGGAAGGCAGTTTTACACACTTCATTCTGCTTTGGGTGGTACAGACGGAGGGGAGTTGTATTTGTGAATGTGTGTAGAGCACAGCTTTTGACACAGGGTCTCTAATGTGTGTTGTTTGTTTGTTTTTTTGCTTTTAAAGCATATATCAAAATAGCTGAGAAAAACAAGCTCTGCAGCCCTGAGTCATTCACGTGATAAAATGCCACCAGCTGTGCTGACCAAATAGCCCTGGGCACTGTGAAGCCAGGTAAACACAGCAGTGGGTGGGGAGTTGGGCTGCCGGCAAGAACTCTCAGTGATAACAGGGACGCAGGGCCACTCAAGGGCAAAATGGGCCAGTTCCTGAGAATAATTGGTGGTTTCATGCAGCAAACATAAAACAAAACAAATAAGGATGATTGCTTGGAGCTTGTTCAAATCTCTGAGTAAAATCATATCTGAAAGAAAACACAGCTAGAAATATGGATTACAAGTCTTCTCTAGAGTAAAAACTGGCTGAAACTGATTTTGTGAACTAGTTTATTTTCCAGAAATGACTGCATTTATTTCAACAGTTAACTTGGTGCTATATCCATGGGCAAGTGGACAGCATGCCTCAGCCCACACACAAAACCTCAAAGTTATACCATTTGGTGGTTAATGACACAAATACAACAAATAATGATGTGCTTACTGCCGGTAACATTTCCACAGCAACTGGTGCACGGACAGTATTGTAACCAAAGGGGCACTGCGACAGCCAGAGGCCTGTGCACATGCTGGGAACACCATCCACACTGCAAAACCGCATGCTGCCCCTGGAGTTCCGCCAGGCAGTGCCCCTGTCTGCCTAGTCACCTCTCTTCATTAGTTAACCACCATTTGCTTTGCTCTTTTGCAACCTTGACCTCTGATTTCACAATACAGTCTATGAACTTTTTTTAAATGCAGAGCTTTATAGGAAAACAACTCTACATTGGGGAAAACAAGGCAAACAATCTGCTATTCAGGAGTGGCCTTCTTTTTCTCATTTCCACCCACAGGGTTAACAGCTGTGGGGCAGGATGTATCTGGATGGCAAATTCTCTCCCTCGCTTTCTCTCTCTCACCCCTCCTCTCCCTCTATGGTGGTAATAAGCTTCCATTTTATACTAAATATAAGGAGAATGACCTTCTATGTTTGTTCATTGAGGAACTTGTGACAGTGAAATAAGCATAAATGAACCAATCAGGACAATAGGCATAAATCAAGACGCTCCTTGCAAAACTAGATGTATGCTCACCCTACAGAGATATGAGATCTACCAAAATATATGATAAAAGCTAAACACTCACTCATCTCTGATAGTGATTTCAGACTGGATTCTAAGGGGCAAATTGGACTACTTGACACATCATTCACACTTGATTCCCAGGAAGAAGTATCAGAGTGTCAATCAATCTTCCATGGGACAAGAGTGAAAAGACATTCCCGAAGCTGCTTTTACTCCGAGACTTAACCACACAATGGCCAGAGGGCACTGAGAGGCTTTAGAGCTGGACCAGCAGGAATCATGGGAGTGGCTCTGAGATACTACTGTTCAGGAAGGAACATCCAAATCGGAGCCCTCAAACACCCAGCCTGCCTTTGCTCCTGAACTAAGTTATTTAATTTTAGGGATTTATGAAAGTAGAGGGCTGGTCTAATCCCATCCAAGGACAAATGATCTCCAACAGAAAGACCCAGAGATAGGTCAGACTAGACTAGGCAAAGGCCTCCTAGGGAGACAGAGGCTCTAAGTTCAAAGTACCCCTCGGATTTAGTGATGGTCCGCCGTTCCATGCACTCCAGGGACTGCTCCCCATGTGTAGGGAACTGGGATCTGCCATGTATTTGTTTTTATTTTTACCTTTTTTGGCTAATCCTCACCCAAGGATGTTTTTTCTATTGATTTTTTAGGGAGTAGGAGGGAGGGACAGGAGTGGGGTAGAAACATCCATTGGTTGCCTCCTTCATGCACCCTGACCAGGACCAGGAGGTTCGAACCTGCAACCCAGCTACGTGCCCGTGACTAGGAATCGAACCTGTGATCCTTAGTGCACAAGCCGACACTCTAACCACAGAGCAAAACCAGTCTGGGTTATTTGTTTTAAACATTTATCCCATTTCATTCTTAGGCAGTGACTAAGTCCATTACCTTAAAAATGTAATTCATATCTTAATTCAAGTATTAGCTTCCATTTGGCTTTATCAGAAACACCTAAATATTTTTCTGCCAGTAGTGACAGGTGTCTTATTCCCAGTGCTTTGATGTCAACATCAAAATTCCTTACAACTTTTCTTAATTTTCTTCATGTGATGCTTGCTGGGCTCGGGCTCCTTCCTTCCCTCAATCCTGGCTGCACTTTCTCAGTCGGTCCACTGGGCGTGGTTTGGTGGTGGGTGGAGTCCTGCCATGGATCTTTCATAACCACCTAAAACTGCAGAGGTAGACACCACTTGGAGATACAGATGCAAGATTACAGTGTCAGAGACAGGTTTTGAAGTTCTTTAAGAAAGCAGTGTCTACTAATCTTTTTTTCATTGTCTCCTAACTTGCACCCCAACTGCTCACTCATGGGTTAGTCCCTGACAGAGTGGACTCCAATGGTCAGAATACCCAAGTTTGTGTAACCCCAGGAGCCTTACCTACATGCCTTTTCTGCTTTAGCCTCACTCCGACCAAGATGTGAAGGGAATATGTTTAGTTGGGACTTAGAGCAAAACCAGGTGTACAGAGCAACGCCTCTCCAACTTCAGTGCACAGCAGAATCATGGGATTAAAAATGCAGGCGCCTACGCAGAGATTCTGAGTGGGTAAAATCTGGAACAAGGCTTAGGCATCTGCACATCCCCAATTCCACCCCCTATATTCTGATGTAGGCGGTCTTCCCCTCCAGTTTAGAAAATCACATAAAACAGTGACAAAGCATTTACCACACACACACCACCATCGCGCTGCACTGCCCCACCTCCACGCGCACATTTGGATGGTAGCTCCTGGTCAGCAAACTTGTACACGTCTGACCACATGTGAACAAATACTGCCCACAGTCACCCACTCAGATGTTCTTCTCAGAGACTCTACCTGCCATCCATCGTAATGCACACTAAGCAAAGACAACAGTTCTGAACTCACGGCGAGTTTAAGGTATACAATTACTTTATTTCCTTGGCCTGACAGCATAAACATTACACAAGAACCTGCAGCTGACAGAATCAACACCCAGATTCCCCCACACAGGAAGAACCCTTTTCGTGAGCAGAGATGAGCTGAAATGTCATGTCTGAGTGCTCCCCACCCCCACCCAGAATAACCCCTAAAGTGAAAATAATCAGAATCAACAGAACCCCCACGAATTACTAAAAGTCATCCTCTCCAACTTTTCTAACTAGCAGCTGCAGTAAATGAAAACCCCAGGAGGGAAGCAGCTGGCCATCACTAGCATTTCTGTGCCTGTGAGACAGAAGGGACAGCAGGGAGGGAGGACATCCATTGAGTCTGTGATTGGAAATGGCTGAGGCTCATTAAAGTCCAAGGTAGGGGTGGGATTAAGGGCGCCAGAGAGCGAGCAGGTTAGGCAGAGATGTTCAATACTTCATCAGTTCCAGTTAATGCTATCAAAACTACCTTCATGGTCACGTCCTTCACGCCTGGCCCTTATTTTCCTACAGTGAGCGCCATCTAAATTTCTGTCTGACATCTGTCCCCGTCACTGGGGTGGTGCTTGATGTCTGTGAGATTATGACTGGGAGGGGGGAGACGTGGCGAGGAGGAGGAGGAGATGGAGGAGGAGGAGGTGTACAGATAGGAGAGATGGGGCACAATGTTTGAATTACAATGTGTCTCTTTTGGTCCCAGGAATGGTCCACTACCAGTAGTCCTAAAACATTCCCCTCCCCTCCCCCCAGCTAAATTGTGCAAATGTCAAAGAGAATCTCTGCCTGAAGCGAAGGGAGAGCCGAAAGTTGATGCTAGTCATCTCTGGCCCCAACTTGCCCACCTCCTGTCTCTTCTAAAAAAAACAAAAGAAAAAAACACAAAAATTAATTCGCAGCAATGCTATGAAATTATATCCGCTCCATTCCTCGAGCAAAGCTAATCCAACGGCTCTGTCCTGACATGCTTTCTCCCTGGGCCGAGGAAGCAGCAAAAAATATCAGTTGAGCAGGTGAAAATATGATGACGGTGTGTACGGTGTAGTGTTTCCAGATGTCTTCACAAACAAAACAAAAAAACACAAAAATTAATTCGCAGCAATGCTATGAAATTATATCCTCTCCATTCCTCGAGCAAAGCTAATCCAACGGCTCTGTCCTGACATGCTTTCTCCCTGGGCCGAGGAAGCAGCAAAAAATATCAGTTGAGCAGGTGAAAATATGATGACGGTGTGTACGGTGTAGTGTTTCCAGATGTCTTCACCTTCTGTCTCCTCCATGGTGGGAGCTAACGATCTCTTCCCCACATCCCACACATCTCCCTCCCCCTACCCCCGAGTCCAGGTGCTCCCATCTGCTGGGCTGCCACCACTCACTTCCCATACACACTCTCATCACTGTAGGCCACGTACAGAAAGTAGTCTTCCTCATGGTTGTCCTAGGGGAAGAGATGAGGACAAGTCAGAAAACATCATCCCATTCATTATCTCCACGACTAGAACATAATCCTTATCTTTAAAAGCTCATTCTATCTAGCGAGGAAAACACAGATACAACAAAACATGCACATTGAGATATATACTGATAGGGAATATATGCCACGGGATAACAATTAGATTAGAATATTCGAAGTTTATTTAACTCAGTAAAGGGACACAGTAGGAGGCAATATCTTGTGTGAAATTCTTTCAGGAATAAGTTACACTCTTAGGTGATATAGCAAGACAAAGTCCTACACTATAGTTTTCTCATATTGGATTCTGACAGTTTACCAAGGAAACCAAATAAAATCACAAACATTGGTCTGGCCAGCATGGCTCAGTGGTTGAGCATCGACCTATGAACCAGGAGGTTGTGGTTCGATTCCCGGTCGGGGTACATGCCCAGGTTGGGGGTTCAATCCCCACTGTGGGGTTTGCAGAAGGCAGCTGATCAATGATTCTCTCTTATCACTGATGTTTCTCTCTCTCTCTCTCTCTCTCTCTCTTTCTCTCTCTTCCTCTCTGAAATCAATAAAAATATGTATTTTTAAAAAATCACATACATTATTCTCTCCAGCTGAGTTTACCTGTTAAAACAATTTAAAGATTTTGGTCTTAATTATAAATTTCAGTTTATTTGAAATTTTCACAATCAAAAGCCATTTCCTACTGTCTCAATAATGATAATCCCATGTTAAAATGCTCTAGGCAAGGCTGGCCAGCGTGGCTCTGTAGTTGGGTGGCAACCTATGAACCGGGAGGTCATAGTTCAATTCACGGTCAGGGCACACACGCTCAATGACTCTCTCTCGTCATTGATGTTTCTGTCTCTCCCTCTCTGAAATCAATAAAAATATATTAAAAAAATAACAATACTCCAGGCAAGGCAAGACAGGAACAAGAATGAAAAGGGATTGCATTTAGTAGCTGCTCTATTCCTAAAAGACAGTGCCGTCTAATCTCACAGAGCCTCACAGTGCCTGTGGTGAGTAAGAGGATCCTGATAGACAACACCTCCTGTTCCACTTCCCAGGTGTGTTATCAAAATGCACTGGAACAAAAGCCGGAGAACACCAGACCTGTCCGTATTGTTGTAACCAGGACCATTACCTCATACAGCTGGCCCATGGTAGCGCTAGTGGGAGGGATAGTGTTGTTGACAAAGAAGAATAAGGCGTCCTCAGGTCTCAGGTGGATCCTCTTCCGGATTAAGAAGTAGAACTGGCCAACTGGATGAAGGAAGAAGGTTTTATAAAAGAAAGGCAAGAGGAGAGAACACAAGGGACTAGGAGAATCCTGCTACACCTGCTCCCTTTCAAGTGCCATCTTTACATCCCATCTGAACAGAGCCCATTACTGTCCCATAGCGATAGAAATAAAGTGAAACTCAGACTTGTACTCCCTTGTACTTGTAATAGGCCACCGAGCAGTTTATTCCTCAGAAAATAGGAGCTTACCTTCATTTACGCAAATTTAGACCCGATGCTAGCTAAGCCTAAGGACAGCTTTGAGGGAACGCTATATATCCAGACTGCAACAGCCCCAGCATTGTCTAAGTCTGATTTGAAGCACACTTCCTTCCTAACACAAACTAGTCATGGGAAGTGGTCTTCTCGACTCCGTAACCTTAGCACCACCACTCATCCCAATGCTGGGACAATGAATGGAATTCAATGCTTTCCCTTTTACAGAGCACACTGAAGAAATTCTGGGAGGCTGATATTTAAATCTAAGACCTCTAGAGCAAACATATTTAAAAATCTTTCCAGCGTCTCCTGGATGCAGTGATAATTCCACTAAGGATCAAGGTGAAGAATGAATATATCCTCCGCAATTCCAAGCGTTAACCAAAGTATCTGTAAAACGTTAACCGAAAAAATGTTGTTTGGGGAGACAAGGAAATCATTTGAGAATCTCTAAAATGTGATTCTCGCAAGAAACTAATCTGGTTTTCCTCTTGGAATAAAGTGACATCATAGTAACAAAGATGATGTTAAGTGCTTTAAATAATAGACATCTGATCTCTTTAAATAATAGACATCTGCTCTCTTTCAATGTTTTTTTTTTTTTTATCTCTTTCAATGTTTTATACTTTGCTGTGCCTGCATCAAATGAGGCACTATGATGGGAAATGCTTAAGGGACTGGTGATGGGGAAGAATTATGCCACCATTTTTGAATAACCTAACTTTCTGAAGAACCCTACTTTCTTCAACCTACGTCCTCAGTCTCAATCTCATGCACGCAGGAAGGACTGGGAAAGCTTTGCTATGGGAGGAAGGGTCAGAGAAGAAGAGCATTACCAGTGAGGTCAGAGGGCACCAGGTACTTCCTCTTGTCCAGATCAGGCACCCTGGCCTTAGGAGCCTTCTCCACGATCACCTGGCAGGAGAGTCAAAGAATGGAATGAAAACTACGGAAACCAACTTAGTATTTTTCCTTCCATGTCCTACAGTTTCCCCATTTGACGTGAGTTTGACTAGTCCCAATAACATTTTTCCATTTCTTATTCTCCCTTACAAATATATGGGGAAATGGGCTTTCTTAGAAAGGTTGTAGTTTTATTACTGCAATAACAAGAGGATGGACAGGGAATGTGATGAAAAGTAAAAAGAATCTTAATTTTAAGTAATTACAAGTTACCTGCCAGGTATACTATAGGATAAATGCCTTCTGGTATTTAAATAGAGCATTAAGGTTGCCTAGGTCTTCTCAAATGGTCCAGAGTACCTGTTAGTTTTCTTTCTTATAAATGCCATTTATTAAAGCTATAGATGACATGGTTTAAATTTTATACTTTGTCAAATTTTTTGAGAATGACCACAAAAAAAAGTTCAAGACACTAGTTTATTAAGCAAAAGAGTAAGTAGTAAAATAGTTCTTACAGTGTGGTATTCTGTGCTATCTCAGTACAATAACCCATTTATCAATATTATGTTAGAATTTCAAGGGATTTTTCAATGTTTATAAATATTTCTATAATATTTGAAAGTTTAGAAAAACCATAGATTTCTGTAATAGAAAGAAAAAAATTAAGCTATGTAAAAATTGAAGACTTGCCCTAACCGGTTTGGCTCAGCGGACAGAGCGTCGGCCTGCGACTCAAGGGTCCCAGGTTCAATTCCGGTCAAGGGCATGTACCTTGGTTGTGGGCACATCCCCAGTAGGAGGTGTGCAGGAGGCAGCTGATCGATGTTTCTCTCTCATCGATGTTTCTAACTCTCTATCCCTCTCCGTTCCTCTCTGTAAAAAATCAATAAAAAATATATTTTAAAAAAAAAATCGAAGACTTGCCCTGGCCAGTGTGGCTCAGTTGGATGGGCATCATCCTGTGCACCAAAAGGTTGCTAGTTCCGTTCCCGGTTAGAGCATATGCCCAGGTTGCGGGCTTGTGCAGAAGGCAGCCATGTGAATGATCGATTGTTTCATTCACTCTGACATGATGTTTCTCTCTCTCTCCCTTCTCTCTCTAAAACAATCAATTAAAAATTATTTTAAAAAATTAAAGACTTTTTATTCATTTAGATTTATAAAATAGACTTATAAATATTTAACATTTTAAATGTTTAAATATTTAAATTACATACTACAAAAGTATATTTAGTATTTATAGATTTAGAATTCATGCATATTATATATTTAAATTTTAAATATTTAACATCTATTATAAAGCCATGAGATTTAGACTTTTAGTTTAGAAAATATCATTACCCTAGACAGAGGATTTGGAAAGTATAGGAAAATGACAGAACTAGAAATAAACACTGGTCAAGTATCCCTAGTAGCTGTTTGATCTTCAACAGGTCACTTAACCTCTCTAAGCTTCAGCATTCCAATGAGTAAAGGGAAGATGATAACTTTCCAACATCTCCTTTACAAAGTTATGGTACTGATACGGTTGGTGGACTTGAGTAACCGATAAATTTTATGTGAAAATGCTTTGTGAATTATACAGAAGTATCTAAACACAAGGACTGGCTTAGAGCAAAGTGTCTAAAGCTTTTAAATTTAAGGAGACCGATTAAAATAGTGAAAAACTGCCCTGGCCAATGTGGCTCACTTGGTTGTGCATCTCAAGGTTGCCAGTTCAAGTCCCCCACATGCCCAGGTTGGGGGTTCCATCTCCAGAAGGGGGCCTGCAGGAGGCAGCTGATTGATGGGTCTCCCTAATGTTTCTCTTTCCCCCTTCCTCTCTCTCTAAAATAAAAATAAAAAAAAACAGTTGTGAAAAAGTTATTTTATGTATAAAGAGAAAAATAATCCTATACCATTAAGACCAAAGGAGCATAACACTTAAAAATAAAATCTGTAGTAGCCCAGGCGATGTGGCTTGGTGGTTGAGTGTCAACCTATGAATCAGAAGGTCACAGGTTTTGGGCTCGATCCAAACAGTGGGGGGGGGGGGGGGGGGGGG